AAAAAAAAAAAAAAAAAATATATATATATATATAAATGTAACATTATTTTTTAAATACGTACATTAAAAAATACCATCACACTGGGAATTAAAAACATCTGAAAAAATAAAAAGCTGTATATACTTAATTCTGTTAGTTAGCCCACTTCAAAATTGTCAACAAATGCTCTAGAAGGGGAATTGGGAATGCATTGGAAATCAGCTAAAGTTTTGTTCTTGTTTTGCTGCGCATAAAGATGGCCTGGTGCTTGACTCTGCAAGTTTTCCACGTCCCAGGTGCGACTGGGCCTGCTAGGGAAGAAAGCCGAGCGCCCAGGTGACAGGAGCCTCGGCGGTGACAGAAGGGCTCGAGCTCCCAGGGGAGCGGGGAAGGGGGGCTTCCTCCACCCTCCCCCTTCCGCCCCAGCCCAGCTCGCGCTCCCCATTACCTGTTCATCTTGTCCTTGTCATTCAAGCCATTTTTCCGGAGCAAAAGGATCTGCTGCACTTTGGCTACGTTACCCGAGCCGGCAGCTTTGTGGATCTTCCCGAGGTCTCTGTCTCGGATGTGGTACCCGGGCGGGGAGTAGGCGCTGTCCCCATGCTGACACGAGACGCCCGGGCCGCTCCTCCGCAGCCTGGTGAAGGAGCCCAAGGGCGACTCGCCCTTCTTACTAAAAATCTTCTTCATGGCAGAGGCTGTCGGCTTCAGAGACACCTCATCTCCTCGGCTTTTCTCCGCCTCGGAAGCCCAATACCAGCCAGTCCAGCGGGGTCTGGCCGCAAGCTCTAACGAGGAAACGCCGCGGTTTCCAATCTCTCCGAGTAACTAGGCAAGCAATGCCGCTAAGCACAAGTGCGCCTGCGCAGCTCAGAAAGCCGTGTTCCTGCGCCTGCGCAGAAGGCCAGGCGAGCAAAGGTGCTCAGTGCGCATGTACAAGGCCCAAGCCTCGCCAATCTCAGCGGTCCTTGATAATCAGCCTGGTGTTCCCGGCGAACACCGGTGGGGGTTGGCAGTTTAGGACATTTGAGGAAGGGACACGCTTGCCTGTGGGGAAGTAGTCTTTACACACAGCTGGGGCTAGAAAAGCATCGAGCTTTAGGATGCTGGAAGTCTCGTCCCTGGAGAAACTCTCTAAATCTTATCCCTAGGTTTAGTCCCCTTGCGTATCCCTCTGGGCCCCACGCTGGAATCCAACGAAAGTTAGCAGGTGCATCAACAAGGCTGTTAGCATGGTGTCAGAGATCGTGGCAATATGTGTCATCAAGTACAAACATAAGAGGAGAATCGAATGCACTTTCTTCAGAAGACATGAAAACGCATTTCTGCCGCCTTCCCTTTACATTTTCTTTACTTGAATATTATTATTTGCATTTATTTTCCAGGACTAAATCTTTAATCAATACACAACTTACTTTGGAGCATGGTGTAAAACAAGGACTTGTTTTGTAATGGCTATTCACTTGTCTCAATCCATGTTGTCTACGTCAAAATGTCACTTTATCTTACCTTCAATTATTGGGTATTTTGTTTGTGTTAGATCAGTGAGGGGTTACAAAACAATCATCAGTGATTTCAGGTAAACCGGTTCTGTCCCCTGTTAATGATTAAAGGACAAGTTAAAAGAAAATGCTAAAGAAGCATGACAAAGCTTAAAATAGCTGCTTTTTGGCTAAAGTTATTCCATTTTGGCATTTCACCCTTTTAGTTTGTTTCTGGTTTTTCATTCTCTTCCATTGAATGGCGGTCTGCTTCTTGAATCAAGAAGTTGTTTTAACTTCTTTAATTATAAAATATATTTTAATATTCCTTAGCAATTCCAAAGCTTCCCTCTTTATTCTCCCATTTCAGTAGTCCCTCAGCAGTGTTTGCCTATGTGTTATTAAGTGAATTTTTAATCACTATATCAAGTTTAAAAGAATTCTTAGTGAGATTATGTTTGTAATTGGGTTGAGAATTAATTTTAACCGAAAATCAATCTCTTGAATGAGTCTATCCAGACAAATGTTATGCCTCTCAATTTGTCTTTTTTATATGCCTCATTAGCTTTTGGTAATTTTTTTCCAAATGTGAATCCTGAACACTTTTTTTTTTTTTTTTTTAAGTTGGAATCTCACTTCGTTGCCCAGGCTGGAGTGCAATGGCACACTCATGGCCACCCCAGCATCAACCTGTCGACTTGCTGGGCTCAGGTGATCCTTCCACCTCAACCTTCCAAGTAGCTGGAACTACAGGTATACACTACCACGCCCGGCTAATTTTTTTTTTTAATTTGTTGTAGAGACGAGGTCTTGCCAAGTTGTCCGGGCTGGTCTCTAACCCTCTTGATATATTTGTACGTTGGCTTTTTCACTTTTTTATAGTTATTGTATATTTTCTTCATCATAATTTGTAAAAAGATTATTGTTTTAATATCTATGCATTCATTTGACAATCAGAATGAAAAACTTTTTCAGCTATAATTTTGTAAGAGAAGTAGTAGTTGACAATTTCTAGCAAGTACTTACAGAAGGCACAAAGTGGACAATAGAGATCTCACCAGAAAGAATATAAAAGAAGGTATGATGCCAATGAAAAACAACCAAGCAAAAATCAGACAGGATGGGCTGTTTTTGTTGAAGGGTAAAATAATTGCTAAACACTTATTAGTATATATTATAGTTGTTGTTTTTTTTCCTCAAATCCTATTAGCCACATTTTTCAGCAATGACTTAACTATGTAATAGGAAAATCTGTCTACGGCCATACCATCCTGATCTCGGGAACTAATAGGGAGATCTGTGTTTTTACTTTCCTCAAAATCTTATTTTGTGCCTTTGCTTTATCCACCCAAGTCTACACCCTACTCTTGTTTGTAATCATCGTGCTAACTTTCTGTGGTCTTATAATCTCCATTGTTGTGAAGCCTTTTGTGCTCCACACTTGTCCCCTATTCTTTTTTTTTTTAATTTTTAATTTTAAAATTGTAGGGTACAATTCAGGGTTAGGTATACAAATATTCATTGTGCAGATACCCTTGTTGACGAGGTGTGCCCCCCCTTCCCCAGGCAGATTCCCACTACCGCCAATCCCACCTCCCCACCCCCTGACACCCCTGTAGTTTCCCGCTACTGTCAATTCTATTCTTATTGTATTACAATAGTTGTTCAAGGTCCACTTATGAGTGAGAACATGTGATACTCAGTTCTTTGTTTCTGTGAAAGATCACTGAGTACTATAGACTCTAATTCCATCCAGGTTGCTGCAAAGTTCATGATTTTGTTCTTCTTTGTGGTTGTGTAGTTTCCATTGTGTATGTGTTCCACATTTTTTTAATCCAGTCTTCTTTTGATGGGCAGCATGGTTGGTTCCGTGTTCTTGCTATTGTGAATAATGCTGCAATAAACATATGTGTGCAGGTATCTTTTTTATAGAGTGATTTGAATTCTTCCAGGTATATTCCGAGTAGGGGGATTGCAGGATCATGTGGAAGGTCAATTTTTAGAACTTTTAGGAATCGCCACACTGTTTTCCACAGAGGCTGTACTAGTTTACACTCCCACCAACAGTGTAGAAGTCTTCCTTTTTCACCACATCCTCTCCAGCATCTGTTATTTTTTTGAGTTATTGATGATGGCCATTCTGACTGGAGTTAGGTGGTATCTCAGTGTAGTTTTAATTTGCATTTCTTTGATAACTAGTGAGGCTGAACATTTTTTCATATATCTGTTGTCTGCTCATATGTCTTCTTTTTTTTTTTTTTTTTTTTTGAGTTGGAGTCTCACTCTGTCGCCCAGACTGGAGTGCAGTGGCCACTCCTGGCCACCTCAGCCTCGACCTGCTGGGCTCCGGTGATCCTTCCACCTCAGCCTTCCGAGTAGCTGGAATTACAGGCATGCGCTACCACGCCCAGCTGATTTTTTGATTTATTGTAGAGATGAGGTCCTGCTGCCTAGGCGAGTCTCGAACCCACGGGCTCAGGCAATCCACTCATCTCAGCCTCCCAAAGGCACGGGATTACAGGCTGAGCCACCGAGCCCGGCTTCATATGTCTTCTTTTGAGAACTGTCTATTCATATCTTTTGCCCACTTTGTAATGGGGCTGTTTGTTTTTTTCTTTTCAGTACGTTTGAGTTCCTTGTAGATCCTAGATATTAGGCCTTTGTCAGATATACTGTTGGCAAATATTTTTTCCAAGTCTGTGGACTGTCTCCCTGCTCTCTTGATGGTTTCTTTGACTTTGCAGAAGCTTTTCAGTTTGATGAGGTCCCACTTGTCTATCTTATCTCTAATGGCATGAGCACTTCATGTTTTGATCAGGAATTGGTTGCCAGTTCCAACTTCCATAAGAGTGTCTCCTGCATTTTCTAAGGTTCTTATAGTTTGAGGTTTTACATTTAGGTCTCTGATCCATTTAGAGTTGATTTTTGTTAATGGGGATAGGTAGGGGTTCTGTTTCAATCTTCTGCAGATGGTCAGGCAGTTTTCCCAGTACCATTTACTGAACAGGTTCTCCTCTCCCCAGTGGTTGGTGGTGGAGGCTTTGTCGAAGATGAGTTGATTGAGAAATTGAGGCTTTGCTTCTAGAATCTCAATTCCATTCCATTGGTCTGTATGCCTGTTCTTGTACCAATACCAGGCTGTTTTGATTATTGTAGCTTTATAATAAAATTTAAAGTCTGGGAGTGTGATACCTCCTGTTTTTTGTTTTGTTTGTTTGTTTGTTTTGCTGAGGATTGTTTTGGCTATTCTTGGTCATTGATGTTTCCATATGAATTCCTGTATTGTTGTTTCTAGGTCTGAGGTGAATGTTGCTGGTAATTTGATGGGTATTGCCTTAAATCTGTAGATTGCCATAGATAGAATGGACATCTTAACAACAATGTTGATTCTTCCAATCCATGAGCATGGAATATTTTTCCACTTGTTTGTGTCATCTTTGATTTCTTTGAGCAGTGTTTTGTAGTTTTCATTGTAAAGGTCTTTCAGTCTCTGGTTAGGAAGATGCCAAGGTATTTAATTTTTTTGTGTGGCTATTGTGAATGGAATTGTGCTTTTTATTTGGGGTTCTGTGTGTCTATTATTGGTATATAGAAATGCAATTGTCTTTTGCACATTTATTTTATACCCTGAGATTTTGCCAAAGTCCTTTATCAGTGCAAGGAGGTTTTTGACAGATTCTCTTGGGTTTTCAAAGTATAGAATCATGTTGTCTGCAAAAAGGGATAATTTGGTTTCTTCTTTTCCTATTTGGATACCCCTGATCACCTTCTCTTCTCTGATTGCTCTAGTTAGGACTTCCAAAACTATGCTGAACAGGAGAGGTGAGAGTGGGCATCCTTGTCTTGTTCCAGTTTTCAGGGTAAATGTTTTCAATTTCTGTCTGTTTAGCAGGATGCTGGCTGTGGGTTTCTCATAGATGGCTCTTATTATTTTGAGATATGTTCCATCTAGCCTAGATGTTCAAGGGTTTTTATCAAGAAGGGGTGCTGGATTTTATCAAAAGCTTTTTCTGCATCTAATGATATAATCATGTGTTTTTTGTTTTTACATCTGTTGATGTATTTAATTATGTTTTTGGTCTTACGAATGTTGAACCAGCCTTGCATCCCAGGGATGAAGCCTACTTGGTCATGGTGGATGATTTTTGATATGTGTTGTTGAATCCGGTTGCTAGGATCTTGTTGAGAATTTTAGCATCTGTGTTCATCAAGGACATTACCTGTAGTTCTCTTTCTTTGTTGGATCTTTACCTGACTTGGGTATCAATGTGATGCTAACTTCATAAAATGATTTGGAAAGAGTTCCATCTTTCTCAATTGCCTGGGATACTTTCAGTAGGATTGGTATCATTTCCTCCTTGTATGTT